TTAGTGATATATATTTGCAAATAAAAATAATCCACCCAGAGTGGCTCACAACAGCATTAAACAATATATAATCTAACGTATTAGAATTGTGGTGATATTAACAAGCCTTTAAATATCTAGACTCATTAAAACCATTAACAAACATCTATATAAATTATCACCCAATTGTATTATAATACAGAACCACTTTTGTTGAAACAAACATTTCTGAAAGAACAGTCTTAAGAGACATGTTTTTAAGACCTACTTAATCACTGGCAAGGAGGGGGCGATGGTGCACTCAGTGAGGAAGGAGTTTCACAATCTGGGGGACATCACAAAACTGGTTGACCATGCCCACCAAAGAAATGACAACAACAGCCATGCTTTGAAATTCACATTTTCCTCTGAATTTTGCAACGCAGTTCTCCAGCCAAGCATTGTGTACAAAAACACATGTGCAGTTGTACCTTGGTTGTCAAACACCCTGGAACTTGGACGTTTTGGCTCCTGAACTCTGCAAACCTGGAAGTGATTGTTCCAGTTTCCAAACGTACTTTTGGAACCCAAACATCCAACGGGGCTTCTGCGGCTTCCAATTGGCTGCAGGAGCCACAATTTGGTTTTCAAACATTTTGGAAGTTCAATGGCCTTCCAGAATGGATTCCATTTGACTTCCAAGATACGACTATATTACGACAAAGTCTCCATAAAAAGGCATATATTAGTGAAAATTCCATACACAAATGCATTGCTTGGGGAAATGTGTGTATTAGGCAAAATTAAAATATGTGTTTGTTGTAAGAAACCCACCCTAAAATGTTGATGAATTTTCCTGAGGATGTTTTTATTTTAATCAAAAACAGTGATGTGGAAATGTGCAGAACTTTGCTTAAGACTGAAAAACTGAGAAAAAGCACAAGTGACAGATTTACTCTTCCCTAATGAAGAGTCTTTGTTAACTTGAAAGCTTGCTCACGTCTTTATGACTCTTGTTGAGCCTAAAAAAGATATTGTCCTACTGTTAACTTTTGATATAAAATTGTTACACACGAAGGCTTGGGGGCTGATGCAAGGCTCTGTTTATTTGCATCCTGCGGTGATTCAGTCATTGCTGCAGATAGAAATCGAAGGGGTTCTAAGGTTTGCTTTCTGAAGCCATTATCTGTTTACTGCTAATGGATAGCTTTTTCAAAGAAAGCTTTTACATAGGGAGGAGAAGTTGGTTTAAAATGCAAGAAAGAATGGGATTAATTTTGTTGCTCATTGATCTCTTCCTCTCCACTCCCTTCTTGGTAGCATATTAACCTAATGAATTTATCTCTGAACATTATGTGGAGCCAATACACCCTCCACGAACAAAAGTAAATTCTCTCACTTAAGTAGTTTTCTGCTCTCTCTCCTGATTTATCAAATCTTGACAGCATGACTGAAAACAATATGAGCGTTGGTAGATGTTAAATGGGGAAAATGTGCATGGGCCACTGAGAATTTGTTGTAAGCATAATTTTTAACAGATGCAAACACTGGGCTATATAAATATTGAAGACCTGAAGAGAGATGGATGATAGGCATATCCCAACAAGCTCTTGCAGATCAGAAAACAAAAAAAGCAGCTTAAAAGTAGCAAAGAAAACACTTAAAGGGCAATTTTTCACAATGTATTTTCTTATACATGTGAGCAATTACCACCATCCATGTGAATACTTCTGCATTGTTGGTGTTTGCAAATGATGTAGCCTTGGCAGGGCACTCCAAGAAAGCTCTACAGAGTCTCATCAACCATTTTGTCTAAGGCTAATGGTGAGTTTGGCCTCACCATTAGCCTGATGAATACCAACAACTTGGGTCAGGATGTGCCAGCACTCCACACATCAGCATTGGTGAGCACACAATTGAGGTGGTAGACAATGTTGTTCACCTGGGCTCCACCATAACCAGCAACTTTTCCATTGATGCTGAGCTGGACAACCTCATAGGCTTGCCTCTCCAAAAGGGTATGGGGGAATGTGATACTAATGACCAATACCAAGATGAAGGCCTGGCATGTTGAGCGCAATGCTTTATGGAAATGAATCATGGGCAACTTAAACCCACCAAGAGTGATGCCTCAATGTCTTCCATATGCGCAGTGTCAGGAAGTTTTTGGGCATCACATGGCAGAATAGAGTCTCAAACAAAGCTGTGCTCTCCCAAGCTCACATTCCCAGCATGTTCACAATTCTGTCTCTGTGATATCTACATTGGCAACAGTATGGAAGATGGCAGAATCCCCAAGGATGTGCTTTACAGGGAGCTGGCTTCAGGCACCACTTTGTGTTATAAGGATGTCTGCAAATGTGACATCACAATATTAACTCCACTGTGTGGTAACCCCTTGCAGAGGACAGCAGATCCTGGAGACAGGTAGTATGGTCATGTATCCACAGCAGTGACCAGAGGAGAAATGACTGCTGGGAAGAGTGCAGAGAGACAAAATGCCATGGTGCACCTGCAACACTGAAACCAGACATCTTCATCTGCCCTAAAATGTGTTTCTCACGTATTGGTCTCTACAGTCAACATCAAGCTCTGTTAACTCTCCAACGATTTGACTTTACCCCTAGTGGTGCACTCTTCCATTGTCTCTCGGTACAGACAGATGCCAACAAGAGCTATGCCAAAGTTCAGACATAACAATAAACCATGGTGTATTTTTAAAAGACAGAGCTGCAAAGATACAAAGGAGTCAAGAGCTTCTGTGGTCATCACTTACACATGCATTAATAATAAATATGGGTAGAATGAATATTGGCAGCAATCATCCTGCACACAAGGCCCAACCACAAATTTCAAACTGAATTATACTGCATTAACCCTCAGGCCAGGTTAACTGGTGTTGTGCGCGCACACACACACACACACACACACACACACACACACCAAACACACACCCTTTAAAGAAGTTCTCATAAACACTCTGGCAAAGGATGCATCCAAGTCAGCATAAATTGCACCTGAGCCCATTTTTCGCACAAGTTTGTAGATTGATCCTGCCGTGCTGATCATGAAATGTTGCCTCCCCAAAATTGTTCAGTCCAAAATTGTTTAGCAAGAAGATAGTGCACATGAATCTAATGTGATCCAAAGTGTGTGAGAAAGGAAATTAAGCAAGTATGAATTATTCAGGGTGGAATATAGCTGCAACCAAATATCATCAGAAATACGGAGGGTGTGTTTTGTTTTGCTTAAATAAAGACAACTCGTTTTCCCTGCGGAATGCATGGGGATGGTGAAGAATGACTCCCCCCTGAGAAATCTCACAAGGCTAACAATTATCTTAACTGCTGCCTTCTTTGGGGAAAGCTTTTGCTGGAACACTTCCTAGCACTTAACACATGTGTCTCTGTGGGTGAACGCAAGTTCGCCAGAGAGCCGTCTTCTTCCGCTGTCCTTTTCCATGCTTACGCAGGAGGACTCCCTAATGGGGCCACCCATTTTGGCAGCGTGATAAATCAAGACTTCCATTTTAATCTACTGCCAAATCAAAAAGCAGTTCACAGTTAACTGCATTAAAAACACTTTACTCTCTACAAAGCCATCTCTCTGCTGCACCTGCAACTCATGAACTGTAGCTTTAGATCAATACAAAACCCAGCATTATTTAGTCGGGAGGAACAGCAGCCTGCAATAATAATGCCAACAAAAGGCATCCCTCTGAGAAGTGTGAAAAGGAATGACACTGTTTTCAGGCTGGGCTGGGTTCTCTCAATTTTTCAAGGCTGTAGCAAGGCTGAGAGCAGCCTTTTGACAAAGGAGCTTGAAGAGGGAAAGCAGCAAAAGGTTTAAAAATTCATATCCAGCACCTAGGATTTTCTCCCCGAAAACTATTGTGTTGCTGCCTGTCAAAAAAGCAAGTCACCGTGGCAGTAGGGAAAAGATAGGATTATGGGGCTAAAAACATTCGAAGCAAGTTTCACTTTTCCATTGGCGAATCACATCTACACTGACAAATCGAGCAAACAAGCAAACATGAAACCCAAAATAAAAAGATTCCTTCCAGTAGCACCTTAGAGACCAACTAACTTTGTTATTGACATGGGCTTTCGTGTGCATGCACACTTCTTTTGTTTCGACTACAGCAGACCAACATGGCTACCTACCTGTAAATGCAACCCAAAGGTATCGTTCAATGAGAATCCAGATTCAAGAGGATGCTTTGTTGGCACCATCTAATGCTAGAAGCACATGGTAGAGGAGCCACTTGGCTGCAACAGGGAAGAGCATCCATGTGCTGTGTCTTCACTTCTCACAAGAGCGTAACTCCTTATCCTCTGCCTCAAACACGGCAATCCTTTGATGGGGAACTTCTTGAGGTTCTCCACACCCTGAGGTTCAGCCAGCCTTTACTGGGGAGCAAGCCTTTGGCAGGACAGGCTCTTCCCAGTAGAACTGCCTGCCATTTAAGCATCAGCAGGGATCACTCCTGCCTTATTTTATTATATCCTAAGCAAAGAAATTCACATTGCAAAGGCCTGTCTGAATAACAGGCAGGTCTTTGTGATGTGAATTTCTTTTTACCAACCAGCATTACGGTATGCTATATACTGCCTTGATGTATTTTTATGGAAGTGCAGCCTATAATTATTCCAATAAATAAATAGCCCTGCTGGATCAGGTCGGTACCTGGTCTAGTCCAGCACCCTATTATCACAGTGGCCAACCAGATGCCTATGGGAAACCTGCAAGGTGGACCCGAGTGCAAAATCACCCTCCCCACCTGCAATTCCCAGCAAATGGTATTCAGAGGCATATTGCCTCCGACAGTGAAGGTGAGGCACAGCTACTATGGCTACTAGTAGCCAATGATAGCCTTATCCTCCAGGAATTTGTCTAATCCTCTTTAAAGTCATCCAGGTTACTGACCAGGTTACTGTAGAATATTATGGTATTGCAGCACAGAATGGTACTTTAGCTGGTTCAGGTGCAGGTCGGCACTCAAGATGCTGAGATGAGCAGAAAAGTTAGCTCTCTTTTTTTTTAATAATATTTATTGAGAATTTTAAGATTACAAAGAAACAAAGAAAAAAAAGAAGGAAAAGGCAAGTAACATTTAAACAATACGAATCAATAAAAAAACAAGATCAAAAAGAGAAAAAAACAAAATACATAATACATCAAAATCAAAAAACAAAAATAGACAAAAAATTTAAAAACAGATCCAATATTCCCAAATCATTAACTGTCATTACCTTGTTTCATCAACCTCCTCATACCTCCCTTTTTTGTATTCTAGTTGTTAATTATCTCAGCAAATCCTTTCCATCTTTCATAATATTCTGTCATTAAATTACCTTAATCTATTTTAACCTTATCTTACCATAAAAGGCCCTAAAACTTAAAACTTAAATCTTATTTATACCAAATTCTCTTAACCATGGCATATTCTTACATAATTCTTTTTAACATTTCTGCTAAAGCCAAATAATTTCATTCCAACATTTTTCTAATACTCTTTACTTTTACAAAATTTTCCTAAATAAATTGTTTAAAACTTTCTTCCAATCTTCATCCAACGTTTCTTTCTCCTGGTCTCGGGTTTTGTCAGTCCTTTCTATCCCATCCATCTAGTCCATCAGCCTGGTAACCTTATATCCGAGGCCCTTGGATCTCTTCCATGTCCCATCCGCAGATCTTCTTCATATTTATACCTGTACTTTACTTTGTCTTCTGCTCCTTTCACTCGGGGAGACTCCAGCTTGACAATGTTTTTGTCCCTTCTCGACGGATCAGCCCCTTTTCCAAAGTCAACACTGAATTCCATATGGTATTTAAAAGCATGTTTCAAAGTCCCTCCAAAGTTAAGGGCCCGCACAACCCCGGACGCCTCCCGGCCCAAAGCCAGACGTGAAAGGTCAAAACATCCCTGCATAGGGGGGTCTATCCAGCCCCCCATCTCCAAACCAAACAGAACTCTGTCTCTCCAAATCTGGCTTTCTCCAGGTTCATTCATCAAGTCCAACAACTCATGTTCCTGCTGGGCCACAGTTCCCTCCATCTCTGCCTCACTAGGTCCAGCAACAACCTCCTCCCTCATCTGATCTGTCAAAGCACACTCCTGAGTTAACTCCTGAGTGGGTTCTATATAAGTACCCACTGCCTGTCCAAACTTTCCGATCCCAACAGTCATCAAATCCATCTTCTCATGTAACTGTTCCAATAAAGCACTTGTCTTACAAAAGGCCAACACCAGAGCCTCCGAATACATTGTTGTTGAAGGTCAGAGTCTGTTCCCACGATCTTAATCTATTGCAGCTGCAAAGCTCCCCAGTTCGAATTTAATAACAGTTTCACAAGCTCCCTCTAGGGGAAAAAACTTCTATTTGTATCCATCTCTCTCCTTTTTTTTTTTTTAAAGCAAATCTAACAACAAAGTTTCCTTTTTCAGATATTTTGTCAATATTTTGTTCCTTTTAGATGCGAAGGGGAATGGAATCAATATGTTTCTCTTCTTTTAACTATCTGTCAAAAACGTTTGTCTATAGTCAATGAACTTCCCGAAGACGTCTGTCCTGACACCCCGCTCCCAGGTTCAGGACGGTGGAGAATTGCTTTTCTTTACTTGTCTTCTGCAAGTTTAATCAGTCCAGAAAAGTTCCCCCCTCTTCTCCTGCTTCCAAGGGGGGTTCAGTAATTTTAAATGATGAAAATTGATCCTTTACAGACGATTTTCTAAGCTCTAGCTTGCCGTGTCTTTGCTTCAATCTATTTACAAAAAGCGGAAGGCAGACTTCCTGTTTAGACCTTCCCGCTTCAGTGCCAAATTAAAAGAAATTTCTTATTCCAATTTTCCGTTCTACTCACGGACAGTTATTTAAGCTCCAATTGTCCACAGGAAAAAGTCAGCGCTCTCCGGCAACAGCAATGCGGCTTCACTCCGTGAAAGAAGCAGTCGATTCAAGGCACCGCGCCACTCACCCCACGTCGCTCCGGAACCCCGAAATCGGGTTTCCCCGTGAGTAGGGGGGGTGCAAAGGTGCCGGCCGAATCCCACGTCCACAGGCTTCTCCCGCCTGTGGTTTTTGATGGGTCTCCACCTCGCCGTGGAGGTTCAGACCCTGTTTTCCACGGAGCAGATTCCTCCCGATCGGAGGAAATCCGCCATTGCCAGAGGCGCCAACCCGGAAGTCGAAAAGTTAGCTCTTTATTCCAGGAAGCAGCATACAAGGCAGCAATGCCTCTGAATAGGACTGGTCCCTATGAAACAGTTGCCAGGGCTGATGATCCACACCTCCTACTTCCCCCTAAGTCTCCTCCCCCTCAGCCAGATGTTTCCCAAGCAGCCTTAAGCTATGTTAGGGAGTGGCCACCTGTGCTCTTTGTTCTGCTACTCGTAAAGCTCTCTGTGTCCTTGGAGACAAGGGGGAAGGGGAACTTCCTACAGTAGGAATGACAAGATCCATGGGTGTTTCTGCAGCCTCTGTCTCTTTTTGTTCTTATGCCCATTGCTCTTCTTGCTCGCTAACACTTGTTGCCTCTTCAGCCTCCAACCACTCCTCCTCCTCTGACCTGTCCTCAGTGTCCCACCACCATTCCCCAGGCTCTGAGCCTTCCTCCTGTGGGTCTTCTCTAGGAGGTTCCCTGGCTAGAGCCTGCCAACATTCCTCATCATCCAGCCAGTCCCTGACACCCAGAGGGAGAACTCAACACAGGGTTTCTAATTTTTTGTTGCAGGCTGGCATCTTCAAAAACTTATAGTCACACCCAAAGCCCTCAAAATTGCATCACGTTAAGTTGAAAATCTCGAAAAGCACACTGAACGGATCTTTCCAATTAGCCCATCATCATCAACTTGATTGCCTGAGTCTATAGTCACACATCAGTTCGCATGGTTCATTTTGTCTCTTATTAAGACAGACAATTATCTAATAATGGGAGAAAACAAATTGAAGGTGTGAATTCACCCTTAAAGCACAGTTCTTTACATGATCAAAAAACACATTCTGATCGTAATTAGCTGGTATACAACTTTCGTATTTCTAGTAATGGCACATAATATCTACAAAGGAGGTTAGGATGTCCTTTCAAGTAGAACATGTCCATGAGACTAATCTTCAAATACACAAGATGTTAAGTGTCTTCCTTGTTTCAGTAGTTCCAAGTCATGTTTAACCTTAATCTGCCCCAATGAAAAGCATTTCCAAAGTTCACCCAAACCACACTGCCTTTGTAACCATTAAAGACATCAGATCAAAGCTCTTCTCCCCCCGCCCCCCCCCCACATCAGAAAAAAAAAATAAGAAAGGATTATTCAAACTTGAAAGAGCATGGCTTATCAGGATGAGAAAATACTTGCCAGCAGTGAGCCCAATATCATCTGACAGGAAGACTTTGTTGCCTTAAAATAAACTGAACATAGAGATTTGTAGATTGCTGAGCCTTGGAAGTCACTAGAGAGTGTAGTTCAGTTGCTTTTCATTTGGCCACAGTCAAGTTCTGCGTGGGAGGCAAAGAGATGTTCAAGCAGCCTCTGGAGAAACCTTCATCAATGACAACCTCTGTGCCACTTTATTGTTTAAAGCTGCATTCAATAAACACTATGCGGTTGTGCTTAGGTTTCATATTCATGGCCCAAATAGAATTTGCCAGTTGACCTAGGATTGCAGAGTAGGAGGACACATTGGGCTTGTTCATCAGTCAGAGGACTACAGGTCACTGTGATGTTGCACTTCCCCCATGCCTCCTAGGAAGATCAGCACAGCCTGGACCCAGCCAACAGCCAGAGAAGAAGCAGATGCAGGAAGCTACTTTTCCATCTCTCTGCCAGAAAGAAAAAACTGCCTTAACTGCTAATTGCCCTCGCATTGCAGAAGCACACCTGGTCATATCTATTAGCCAGAAAGCTAAGCCCATTGTGGGGTGTGTATGTGTGTAGGAAGTGGTTTGATTGTTTTGTTTTTATATGATCCACAATAGCTATGTTCCATTAAGTATAATTTATTTAATTCACACAGAAATGAAAAAATGTATAGGTAGTAACGAAGGCTTAAAATGGAAAATGGCTAAATCTGTATTGCTGAAGAGTTGCTAACATCAGGGTTTTTCCCATGTTGTTTCTAAAGAACTCTAAGTTCTTGCTGAGTTAATGATTAACTGATTGTCGTTTTTCTGGCAGTAAAAGTGAGTGCTGTAACCTTAGATCATGTGATGAAGGTATTAGGTTGCAAATCTCCATTTTGAAGAGCATTGCCTTTGAGTCTTTGTTTCCCAAACTCCATGGAGTAAGGATGTGAATGAAGCTGTCTTAAAGGGAGAATAAACAGCCTAAGATGGCAAACGGGCTGGAATGCAGGCTGTGGAGAGGGAGAGAGAAATCTTTGGTTATAGGTCTGTTTGGATTATTTCATATTTTCCAAGATGCTGAGCCTGTGCTGGACAGCATAAGACATTGTATGGATATTTTTGGATGTATCATTGATGCTTATGTTTTGTTTTTAAAGAGTTCTGCCAGGAAAGTTTGACTAATATTTTTACAGGCCTGGACAATGATTTATTTCCAAAAGGAATCAGTTCTTATGCTTCCAGTCTCTTCAAATTGTGCAATATTAATATCTGCAACATGTTCTATCTTCTAATGGCGGATGCCAGAAACTGCAGTTGGAGACCATGGCCTGTTCCAGCAGACTCTTCTTATGTGATTATGTTCATCTGGAGGGTCATTCAATTAAAAGCCAGGATATACATCTTTAAAATAAGAAATAGGATACTCTATATGCAAATTAATCACTGAATGTTACATAGCGAACTTGGCATGTGTTGGCTAGCAGTGAGGAGTGTAAACCAGGAGTCTCCTGTTCAAATGTTGACCTGTCACAAGCTGAACTAGTTTTCTGTCCCCCAAATCTGAGCCTCAAGCCCTATCTGCCTAAGGAGATAATACTGAATAACCTAACAGCATCATTACAATAATTACTGACAATGTATGCACTGTCCTTTAAATGGACAAAAACTGCTGTATAAATGTTAAGTGGAAATATCAGGACTAGATGAGGTTGAGTGATAAAGAGGCCAATCAGGTGCTAGTGGCATGTCCCATAGTTGTGAATTGCCACCCACTTTCTCAGCCTGAGTACCAAATTGCAGCAAGGCTATAATCCATTGCCGGGGTTGTCAGAGGTTGGGGACTTTGGTAAGGGCACTTCAGAGAGTTATTAGCACTTTTCTTCTATGCCTCCAGTATTCACCTCTTGTACAGTATCTCCAATTAGTCTGATGAACTGCAGCTTGCTATCATTTTTAAGCAATGAAGCTCTGATTTCATCAAGGAGGCAATGCCGTGAAGCCCTTGGCTTCAGTAAAGTAAGCCCAAGTGCCTCAAAAGAGAAGAAGATAAAGAGGCCATGTCCACAGCCAGCCAGAGAGATGGAGCCTGCCTTAAAACTGTTAACACATTTCAGATATTCTAGCTTTGGATTCCTGGTTTTATAATTTTGCAGCACTATAAGTCACCCGTTTCAAGACAGAAAGGGAACATAGTGACTTCTGGAACATCTGAATGGCTCATGCCTTTGAAACAATCACTCCTAGGCGCAGTCTCCTGCTCACAAAGCCCATTTGGCTCCCTGCTGTAATCCTTAGGCCCAGGATACAAACTGGGAGAAAACTTGAATGCGAGTATAGGGAAACTCCAGTCGAATGCAATTGAACACTGGTGAAGGCTCATCACTGAATCTACCTAGAGTAAGTAAAGGCAACAAAGAGGGCATTCTTTGCTGCCTCCATTGCATCCTCATAATGCATAGCTGTCAACTTTTCCCTTTTCTTGTGAGGAATCCTATTTGGAATAAGGGAATTTCCCTTAAAAAAGGGAAAATGTTGACAGCTATGTCATAATGTCACCTGGAGTGGGGCTTTTTACAGGCTGGCCTGAAGGCAGTGACAGAACCAACAACAGCTTGCTGTGACTTGTTTGCAAAGCATTTAGAGGATTAAATTGCTTGCATCTGCCAGGACCTTGACTCCACTGTTAGAGCTGATTAATATTAAGAGGTGTCCAGAGCCCCGTCTAGTCCTGTTATGTTGGATGTGTTTCAGTTAGTAAGGCTCAAGGATGTGGAAAAGGTGCTTAGATCTGTCAATATGTCCACTTGTGCTCTGGACCCTTGTCCCTCTTGTGAGATTGAAAAATTTAAGCAGCCTTTGGGTCACCTCATAACAGTGAATATTACTTCTGTTTTGAGGAGGCCACAATTTCCTGTGTATTTCTTTTTGTAACATTCACAAATTATTGCAGAAATGTGATGGAACAGACTCAAGATCGAAAAGTTATTCCACAAACTAAAATTAGACTGATCCCACCCACCCCTACTTGTTCAAGTCTGACATTATAGTCCAATATACAAATAGTCTTATATTACCTCCAGAAGAAAATAGGTTTGTACAGTGTATACAGTTTATATTAAGTCACAAGGGGTTTCTGGGATGACAGTGGCCTTCTAAAATTCAGTGCCACAAATGTCTTGTTACATTGACTTAATGACAGAATCTATTCTATTGATTGTCTTTAAACTTCCTTTGGTGGCTCAGCAAATTTTGCCTCCAGCTGCAATAAAATGTAAATCTGGCTTTTAGTTTCCAGACCTCTCGCCGTCCTTTAAAGAACTGCACACACTTTCTTAAGATTCTGGTTGACTGCACAGTTAAAAAGGCTGCTGAGTATCTGAAATAACTAGCTAACGGCCATCAATACTGCTGAGTTGTTCTGAGACTTTTCCATAAACCTCCACTTTTCACTTTACATTTCCATAGTTCAGTAAGCCTTATGAATTGAACCAATATCTTTTTGCAGACTTTCGGCAAAACCTTGCTCACAAAAGATCCCACTGCTGTGACAGGTTGAGAACCACAGAGCTAGGATCTCACGCTGCTGTGGCTTAGCCATTTTGATGTGTTGGCATTCCATCCCTGTCTCAATGTTATTTGAAACATCTGATCTTGGGTTCTGAGCTGAAGTTAGAGGTTCTTAGACTTGGATGCCTTTTTGCGAAGGCTACAGGAACAAACCAGAAAAAGTTAGGTGCGTTTGGATCAATGGGGCATTAGCATCCTGTTAAGTTCTTAAATCACATTGATTTTAGTGAAGCTTAATTACACTTTAGTTTCTCTGAATTGTGCTCAAACAGCAGCAACTGCAGAAAATTAGGCTCAAGTATTTGTGCCTGTGATGGCTTAGGTAAGTCAGTGTTCTTGTTCCATTGTATAACTTGGGAAGGCAATGTAAATGCCCTCCCATCAGATGTCAAGGCAGCCTTGTTTAGGGAAGTTTTTAATGTTTGATGTTTTGCTGTGGTTTTATAACCCGGTGTGGCTGCAGCAACCCAGTCAGATGGGAGGCATATTTAAATAAAGTTGTTGTTGTTGTTGTTCATTCTGCATGCTTGCAGTGCTTAAGTCTCTTGTCCTGGCTCAGCCACAGATACACTGGCCTGAGATCAAGCAACCCAGCTGGCGAAAAGGGTTGTGTAAATCAAAATTATTGTTTCCCTGTATCAGGCTCTGGCTTCTCACCTGT